TTTTCTGTTACATTTTCGGGCATTGTTTGTCAAAATGTTCCTAATGTCTCTGCGAAAACGTGGTCAAACAATTGCTGAAATCCTTTTTGCCTGCGCATTTATAGGCCTTTTCCTTGGTTTGCGATACATTCTTGATCGGCGTTATATGAAAGATATTCAAATAGAACGTTTTAGCCCACAACATGCATTAACAATGAATGAATCAGCGGCTAACATAACTTATTACTATCCCTGTAAGTTTTACACTTTTGCATTAATCTATTCGACTATATCTGACTGTTTTCTAATAACCTGCATACTTTCAGCAAATCCTTGCACGTCAACAATCGTTAACAGAGCATTGACCGGACTAAAAACCATCGAAAATCATTATCCCACTTTAGGTAAGTACCGTGGATTTTTAGCTTTCAATCCAATTGTGTATATTTTAATCTCTCCAATGTCTTCCTAATAAGTTCTATTTATTCTTAAATCAATACGTATTTGTATATGTAAAGACATCTTTCACGAGAAAAATTCAATGACTTAATTGAGTTTGTTACTATCGAAATTGTCCATCTCATCATATTTCAATGGACTATGTTGAAAAATTATTCCATGCAATTTAAGTTACTTGATAATATCATTATGCTTGAGTACTTTGAGCGTGTTCTAACAATTATTTGTACAGCAGAACAATTTTGAAAGTATGTGTTTTACTTTCATCAACAAATGATGATGCTAAGATCAAAATACTGGCGGATATTCAGTTCCTTACTCTAAAGTCTTAAAGTAATTAGATGACATCCAGTATTTTGATCCGAGTAGAAATCATCCATTGAAGAAAGCTTTACAGCTTGAAATATACTGGAAAAATTATTGATATCCTTCATCGCAGTAAACGATAACAGATTTGAAATGTGTAAGGATGCAGTGTAATTGATAAATGAGAAAATCATATCTTCTTATATCGTCTGGAAAGAAAATTAATTGGTCGAAGTTGGGTAATCATATGCGATTGTTTTGTTGTCTGTCGAGTTTTGGAAGAAATCTGTACAGTGATATAAAAACAAATATCTATGTTAGGCCTCCTGTATAAAAAGTTACATTATCTTCAGCGATCATTTCAAAGCAGAAGATTTCAATTCTTATTCCTATCATACTTTTCCAATCTTGTTTCTTAGCAATAGTAAAGAGTATAAAAAAAACGTGCATGTCACTTGTATGACTATTGAAATATAAATGATTCCGGTTAATAAGAGCAGCTAGAAAAAACTATGATACAAGTAATGAACAATTGATTTCAAAATGATGTAGATTCGAATTATAGACGAAATCTAACTCGACGCAAGACATATTAGTGCTAATTCGACTAAATAGTAAATCACCCATAGATAGATCTTTCACAATTTATGATTACAAACATTTTTTTGTGCAATCATTTGTTTCATTCTTTAAAATTCAAACTCATTTATTTCATCAAATAGAACGAATGGATTAAAATAATGTTAAGTACCATTTCGTCGTTCTTCTTGGGGCAAAAAGTTGGTTTCGAGTTGACTTTTTACTGAGAGCTATGAGTATCTTCTACAATAAAACATTGTGCGACTCAAACTAAATAACTATTCAAGAGTTATCGAACTTGTTTGGATTGTTTACTCAGAGACAAATATAACATTGTAAAATGCTGGATAATGCAAAATTTCTTGATTACTTCGCTTAGAATTTCTGTTTTATTGTAGCCAATTTTACTGAAATTTTTACTAGAAACACCTGTAATTCTTCTCCAGAATTAAACTTTAGTCATTTTCATTTTTGATCTTCTGATGCTTAATCATAAGCATGGTTTGTTCAATTGAAACTTTTCAAAAATTTCACGCTTTTCTTTGAGGCGTTGCTTTAGCTGTTATCAAATAAATTTTTTTCCTAATCGGACGAAATTAGAGGAGTCCTAAATAGCAATGATAAAACTTATTTATAACGAGCAATTTTTTCAGAAAGTCTTTTTCATCCTCGTATATACCTTTCCTTGAATATGTTTTCCATCGTTTCCGATATTTCAGCTGTATTACAACTTTTCGCTCCACCTATTGTCCTATACTCTAGTATCAGAAATGAGCAAAATTTCACTGGTATTTAATCAATCAGAAAATAACTTTGATAGTATTTAGGGAATTCTCACAACCGTCTACAATTTCTAAGTTTCTATGATGCATTTGGAAAATTTCTTGTTTAGATCGTTTAGGCTCAAAGAGAGCAACTGGAGTTGAGCTGTGAATAGAATAACAATCAGATTAATTTTCATTTATATGCCCTAATGTTTTGCTAAATAAGCTACGTTAGACATAACAATTCCTAATGCAATAACTTTAATAAATTCGTGCGGCAAAGTTTATCCAATGATTATCATTTGTTAAATTGTAGAAGTTTGTGAAAAACATAATTTGATAATTGATGTCACATAACATATTGATGAAATCTCATAGAAAAGTTTTAATTCAACCGTTTCATATTTTTTTAATTTAGTACTACCTTTATCAGAACAGAGTCTGTCGCTATTTTCAAATGACGAGTTACTGTTAATAAATGCTTACATCATTTTTACGAATATGGGTTCGTGTGTGAATAAATCAACAATGCCAGATCAAGTACACTATACCTTACGCATGCAGGAGTAGGCTATTGAATTTGTTTTCTTTGTTTATGTATTTTTGTTTCTACATTTTCTTTTTTATTGCCATATTTATAGGAATGGTCTGTATTATTATCGTGCCCAACGCGTCAAGCTTAGTGACAGCGAAATTCGTACGAAACGCGCTCCGGAAGATTTTTGTCAAGGTATACTCAACGTATCTGTTTTTTGAATCGGAGGATCTTGCTTATGACTAAAGTGGCTCGGCCATATTTCATTTACATTTACTCTCGTTAGAATTGCATTAAAAAACCATATTTAGATTATGAGTAGATTTGAAATCGAACGATCCAAAAAATCGATTTTTCTTTGTTGCTTTCTATGTGATGTTTTGACTTCTATCATAGAATATAAAAAACATTTCGATGAGCTGCTACTTAACCGTATCAAAGATTGTGATTGATCTAGAGAAAATGTTTGTTTAAAATTCATGAAAGTCTATCGTGTTTTACTTTTTAATTCTGTAAAGAGTGGATCGAACCTTTCTTCTGCTTTGCAGAAGTTAAAACTTGTATTTTATGTTTTTCTAGAGACTAGCGTGCTAGTGAACTACGTGAATCAATTTATAGGCCTTCAGTTTGCAATTGATATATCAATCATTGAATATGCAACGAGTATCACTCAAAATATCAAGATACCGAGAGTAAGTTGAAGAGTTCGCTTGTGTTTAAAAAAAAAACAATACTATATATTAGATACTGATGAACCATTTTGGTTGTCCCGCTATCGATACCGATCAACTCTATACAATTTACAGTTTTTTTATTTCAATTTTTGTCTCGCTTATTTACTCAATAACATTCATTATTACTGTTGGCAATATTGTTGAAGAACGTGAAAATAAGACAAAAGTAAGTAAAACAAAATATTCATTGTGATCAATGATCGGAAATAGGAATCATAATTCTAAATATTTTCTCAGGAATATTTGAGTATTTATGGTCTTCGTACTTGGGTGAACAACTTAGTTTGGTTTAGCCGATCGATGTGCATATACTTTGTGTTGACTGGTATTGTGACTGGTTTCAGTATGATGGTTTTACCAAGTTCAAATGTACAATTAAATAGCATTTCCAAGGCCATATTTAACAATACGCATTGGACACTCGTTTGGACTGTTCTTTTTGTCTATTCAATTCACGTTTCAGCATTCACAGTCTTCTTTAGTCAATTTTTCAGACGCCGTAAGTGTTAAGTTCGATTGTGAAACCAATCATCACTTATGCCAGATAAAAAGTTCTTAGATATTCACACTGACTATTAAAATCTGATCTTAAGTTTCTCAGTACTTCAAAAAAAAAAGAAACAAGGACTTGACTAAAACGAGACTTATAAAATGGAATAAAAATTGTGAAACTCGTTCAAATTAATCAAATATCAACAACTAATTATTCATGTAAATTTTGTTATTTCATTTAGCTCTATTGGCAAAAATGTTGGGTTTTATTATATGGTTTTTCACATTAATTGATTTCTATCCTAGTGTACCAGTCGGTGCTCTCTATTTTTTGTGCCTTTTTCCAAATACTGGTCTCATGTTTTGTATTCAAGTTATGCTTCAATATGAACGTAAATGTAGTAAGTAAAGAATTATTCTCTTGATTAGTTGATGATCGAAAACATTATCCTTTTGGAAGCAAAGAATTTCATTCTTGCCTATTACGAAAATCTTTTGTTTTTTAAATCATTGTATTTTTGGTTCACCGAGCGTTAGTGTACGTGAAATAAACAACTATTTACGGTTTAAGCACTTATCTTATTAGATAGGAGTGGAGTTTATTTGTATGATTAAAGTCTTGGAATATTATTCATGCAAGAGTAGTTGTTTCACAACAGAATGCATGAGACCATACTTTACAAGTTCGGGAAAGATAATCGATCGTTATATATCCAAGAAAAAACATACTTTAAACGACAGTGGCATTTTTATGTGTCTTGCAGTCCACGATTAAGGAAATCACTATTTTATAGACATGAATGAATATAATGTGTTTCATATAACTATATATTAGGATAGAAATCGACTAAATGCTATCTATTTTATATATGTTTTGCGGAAAATATAGGATGTATGTATTTTTCAACGAAATATTTTGTATAAAACATCAAGAAGACACGTTGCCTATTGATTTATATCAACTATCATCAAATGATAAAAAGAAATAGCTCTGCATATTGTATACCAATACCAGTAGTTTTGTTTGTTGCTCTACATTGAAAAGTGATCGTGTTATTTTCTTCTTATTCTTCAGATGGAACGACAACATTCTCTCAACTGTATTCGAATCTATTTACATATCCACTTTATATCGGCATTTGTCTACTTCTAATGCTTGTCTATTCGTTTATCTATATGATTTTGGCTATTTATATTGAACGTATTAATCCAGGTGAATTCGGTATATCACAACCGTGGAATTATTTATGTAAAAAGGGTGATAGGAAATCACGACAAGCATCTGCTGTGAAACAAACCGAGATTAACAAGAATAAAGATAAAGTCGAATCGAATTTGGAAAACAATCGTTGGATTGAATCGAGTTCTCTTGCCAATACAAAATTACCTGTCTTAAGTATAAATCATATGACAAAAGTAAGATATGCGACTAGTTAAAATTTCACTTGTTGCTCTTACTTTTAACTGTTTGACATTTAGAAATTTGGAAAATTGAATGCTGTTNTATATGATTTTGGCTATTTATATTGAACGTATTAATCCAGGTGAATTCGGTATATCACAACCGTGGAATTATTTATGTAAAAAGGGTGATAGGAAATCACCACAAGCATCTGCTGTGAAACAAACCGAGATAAACAAGAATAAAGATAAAGTGGAGTCGAATTTGGAAAACAATCGTTGGATTGAATCGAGTTCTCTTACCAATACAAAATTACCTGTCTTAAGTATAAATCATATGACAAAAGTAAGATATGCGACTAGTTAAAATTTCACTTGTTGCTTTTGCTTTTAACTGTTTGACATTTAGAAATTTGGAAAATTGAATGCTGTTATGGATTTATCTCTTGATTTTTACAATGGTGAAGTGTGTTCATTGCTGGGACATAATGGAGCAGGCAAAACGACCACAACATTTATTCTTGTTGGTATGAATTTTGCTCATAGAATTGAACTATTTTCCAAAATAGACTCACGAATATGAGATACCAAAATAATAGTAATAAAGATATAACAGACAAATAAGTATCTTTCTTTTTTTTCTTCGGGATATTCAATATGAATACTGAAAAAAGTAATTCATATTGAATAGAAATTTCGTTACAATATCCCCTGATTTTGTTTCGGATATGATAACAGTGAAAAAAATCAATTTGTGATATTTCTATAATTCCAGAAATTCTGGTAATTGTAGAAATGATTTCACTACATAAGATCCAAAATCAAGTTCTCGGAAAAATGATCCCAATCGATATCAAATGAAACAGTATATATTTTTGTATTTGGCTTAGAATTTCATTTGTAACATTTTACGTATAGATTATGTAGAATACATTGAGGCGTCATGATTTGAATACTTTTTCATATGAAAGATATCATAAGTCTTTGCACAAGCAGTTCATTTGAGGAAAACATTTTAGTAAAAGATGTAACTCTCTGTAGTATTGAACCAGTCGAAAGAACAGCATCCAAACACAATGTTAGTGTGATCATTGACATGATCTATGCTGAATCTAATCAGAACCGATGCATCCTCTCTAGACGGAAGCAAGATACTTCTTCTGAAGACTATGAAGCGTATAAAAATGAACAGTTTCAGTCTCTATTTAAACAACTGGGTGTAGATGTAGACATGGATAGAAATGAGAGTCTAGTAAGCATCTTCACTCCATGACCCATACGCACAATCCTTGTTTCAAACAAAAAATGATGTTATGCTTTCTTTACTATTTAAAAACTTGTGTCTAGGTATGTTGGAACCGACATCAGGTTCTATCACTGTCGAAGGATTGGATGGACGAATGCATATTCAAGAGATTCGAAAAATTATTGGTTTTTGTCCACAATATGGTAAAAATGCTAATTCGTTTGTTGACAAAAGTATATACTGAATAAATAATACACTTTTAGATATTCTCTACAATGAATTATCTGTTAGAGAACATTTGAAATTAGTCGCAGAGGTATATAATTATTGAATAATAAATAATGTTGATTTTGATTGAAATTTTATGTTTTTTTTTTTTCTTTCGAAGATGCGTCAAATGAGACAAAAAGAAGCAGAAGAATCTATTGATAATATTCTTAACCTAATCGGACTTGTCGATCAACAACATACATGGGCAAAGAATTTGTCCGGTGGTATGAAGCGTCGGTTGTCTATCGGTATTTCATTAGTTGGTGATTCGAAAGTAAAGGAATTTCTGTTCAAAAATATTCTGTCGTATCTTTCTATTAAAATGAATTTTATCTATTAACTATTCTAGGTATTGATTTTAGATGAACCAACTAGTGGTATTGGTAAGTACGAAAAATATATTTCAAGTAGAATCTTAAATGAATCGAGTCATATTTTTAAATATATCACTAACAATCTGTAAATCCCAGAAAGTGATTCTATATTTCGAAAGATCATTATGAAATTTAAATATAAAAAAAAAAACTTTCAAACTATCGTACAAGCCTAATTTTAATTTTATCTAGAAGTAAATAAGTGAATCTGGTTCAGATTCATCGTAAATTTTTGATAGGAAGCTTTGATCAAAGATTCAAAAGAGAAAAATGCATTTTAATGGATGAATAATCAATTTTACCTTCATAGTCTTACAGAAAAATTGTATCTCAGTATTTTATTACAAGCCTTAAGTTTGGGTTCAATTTTACTATATGCATATTTCCTAGTTAGTAGAGAATAAAATTTCTATGAATAAAATATTGTTCATAAATCGGCCGGACAAAGTCAACATAAAGTTTGTTATCTATATTATTCAAAATTCTGATTTCAGTTGGCAAATTTATCACATGTGAAATAGATAGACGTCAGGATTGATGAGCAGTCTGTAGAAACCAGTAAATTCGTCTATGTAAAGTACCTGATCATTGGAATTAAGTAATTTACAATGATAGTCATGAACATAACATTAGCTTTTAAGGGACAATTATTGAACAAATATGCTAGAAATGTATTTAACTCAATATTTTTCAAGAGGAACAAATAATGCCACAATACTAAAGCGATGTTTTTCAATGTATAATTACTTTTCCGTATCGTCGCTCTAATATTCGCTCATCACCTATTAGATAAAAACGCCATGATCACATTTTCAAGAAAAGAATAATACCAAGAAAAAATGTTTTAATTATTTCTAATTCGTTTTCTATCGTAGATCCATACAATCGTCGTTTCATATGGACAATCATACGCAAAATGAAAGAAGCCGGAAAATGTATAATTATGACAACACATTTCCTTGAAGAAGCCGATGTTCTATCAGATCGAATTGCTGTTATGACTAAAGGTCGATTACAAGCAAATGGAACGCCTGAATTTCTCAAACAACAAACAGGTTTTTTTGAAAAATTTCATGTAAACCTAGCATGCATCATAAGTTTGATATATCTTAGATTTTGAATATCGCATTTTTATTGACAAAACTGAAACTTGTGACATTCAACATGTAACTCAATTCTTTCAAGAACATGTAAAAACTGCTGTATTAGAAAGACAATCAGCGTCAGAATTAGTGTTTGGTATTAAACGTGGTGAATCACAACAAATTAGTCGATTAATCAATGCTCTTGATGAGCAAGGTTCAAACATTGGCATTAAAGGATATGGTTTATCGATGACAACAGTGGAAGAAGTATTTTTAAAGTAGGACGTTTGATATAAAGTATTACTAAAACGTATCTTTCAAGCGATTTCAATGAATAAAAATACTGCATGATCAACAGCATCCTGACATGATATCTTAGCCGTTCCTAAAGCTAGAAATCTGAAAGTTTTAGCATATATATTAATTTAAGATTTTTGAACAGCAAGATCGGTCTGATTTTGCTCGTTTATATTGAGAAGATTTATCATGTATGATAGATTTTCTAACAATGACTCGGATAGGTCAAAGAGAGAATAATCGCATAGGTTGACTATCCAATAATTATGCTATTCTTCATAACGACTTATCATGATATGAATTTCATTGGGTTGCATCCGTAGGCTTAAAAACTTACATATTTATATAATAATACATAATACAAATAAAATGATTGAGATCAAGCTAGAATTTGTGATCTCTTAACTATTAAAATAATATATTTGATCAAAATTTCATAATTTCTGTTCTTTAAAAGTAGTTGAGAATCCAACGAGATTTGTGAAGAGTAGTGATTTTTCATTAATAATTGATTGAAGCTGAATATCTCAAGAATGAAAAAAAAATTAGATTTTTCGATAGATTTAAGAATTTTTGTATCTATCTGATGACTTAATAGTTCTCGACTTCAGTTTTTTGAATTCAACGAACTCTACTCTATATGTATCTACTGCAGAATTGTAAATGATAACGAATTTTGTTATAAAATTTCTTATTTTATGGAAAATTTTCAGTACAATCGAACACGAAAATCCATGCCACAATCTTTTACAAACTGACAGAAACACATTGACATGCTAAATATGCAAATTTGACGCATGATTATATTATAAAGATTCGGGAAGATGTGTTTGTTTATTTTGAGATTTCAAATTGATATGAAGTTCAGAATTTTCAACAAATCTCTCATAATCTTTAGAACGAATCAAGTATGACACATGATGATATTCATTAATTTTTCTTGTTAACTACTTTAGAACACATCAACAATTACGGTTTATAAAAACTTGATCAGAAATATCTAATTCATCTGCTTATAATTATATTGAAAATATTCTTTTCTGACATATATTCTGAATAAATTCAATAGTCTATGCATTGTTTACTCTATTTGTTTTGATAATATAGACTTGTCGAAGAAGAAGAAGAAGAAGAAACAAATGAAAATAAACAAGATCAAGAAAAATCGAAAGCTAATCTAGCAAAAACTGGTATTCATATTCTTATTATGTAATTCATTTTAATTTATTATTTCTCTATTATTATAGTATTCCATCGAAATCATAATCATATCATCGGTTTCTATCTCACTTGGATTCGACTTTTTACATTAATTATCAAACGATGGATACTTTCTCGTCGACAAATATTTGTTCTACTCGGTTTTCTTTTAGGACCTTTATTAATCGAAATAATAACTATATCGGCATTGCCTTCTCCAAAAGATATTCAAGCATCACTTTTACAAAATGAACGTATTAAAGATGCTCAAGTAACACTTATTCCATCGATATATAATCCACAAACCATAGTTATTTATTCAAATGAAACTGATAATCAAATAAAAGGATATTTAAGAAATTATTTAACAAATATGGGTGCAAACATTGATGAAATAACAACAAATGATATAACTGATTATGTTCTATCACGAAATAATGATTCCTATGATACATATGTTAATAAATATCAAATGGGTTTTTCTATTGATAGAAGTTCAACATCGCCAACATTAAATGTTTTTTTTTCGACAGTTAATTATCATACAATGGCAACAGGTCTTAGTGTAGCAACAACGTGCTTATTTCAATATTATGCTAATTCATCATCGAAAAGTATTCAAACAATTAATCAACCTATTTTGACATATTCAGAATCTGTTACAGCTCGAGCAATATTTTACGATCGAATTTATTGTTTTGATACAGTTCCATTGTCATTATTGAACTTTATTAATGGTGTAATTGCATCAATTTTTATTAGTATTCTTGTATTGAATGTTATTCGAGAACGTATTAGTCATTCAAAAGATTTACAATTATTAACAAATACATCAAAGAAATTATATTGGTTTTCGAATTTTCTCTATGATTTAACGTTATGTTTAATTATTTCTGCACTTTTAACTATTGTTGTAAAGGTAAGATAAATAATTTCGAAAAATATCAACATTTTGATTTTCAGAAAAATCGAAGAGTTGTTTCTATTTCCTCAATCGATTGAGATTAATTTTATAAATTCAACGGACTAATATTTTTGAAAATTTTTCATAAACTAAACTTTCTCGTGTAGATCGATTGTAATAGCTATGGTTTTTTTAAATTATATTCTATAACAAAAGAGTCCTTTTGAAAAACATTGTGTTTTAGGATCTTAAAGAATAGAGTAAAAATTTCCATTCATATGGTATTGAATAGAGGATATATATATGACCGTATCTTCAAATACAACAAAATCCTGAAACTAGACCAAAAAGAAGTTTTGTCTTCGGAAAAGAAGAGATTGTGTCTTTTAATTATTAAATCAGTTGTTGTTTATCATTGCATACAATTGTAAATTTTTGATGACACATTGATAATTTAGACTAAAGAAAATTGAAATTTTCAGTTATTCGCTTAGAAGTGAATCAATTTTACTTTTCACGTCGTACCAGAGAATTTTTCTCTATATTTTAGATTGGGTCTGTAGCTCATCCAAATTCAGAAGTCGAAGTTCACATTTATCAAGGTACCGAACAGATTGGTTACTTTTTTCTTTTATATGTCATGTATTCACTGACTTCATTACCATTCGTGTATTCATATTCATTCATACCTGAATCTGAATTAATTGGTTTTATTATGTTTTTGATTGCAAATGTACTTGCATGTTTTTTTGATATGGTTCTTGGTTTTATTGCGGTATTTTCACAAGCGTCTCCATCATCTAGTCCTGATCAAATGAGTACAACAGCGCAGGTCATGTTGATTCTTCGTTCCATTCTTGCGGGTTTCTTTCCAACAGTCAATTTCAAACAAGCTTTATTCAATATTCGTCTACGTTCCGATGCAACATGTGTTACAGCAATTAATTCTATAATGATTACTAATTATTCTCCTGATGAACCATGGACATCCATCGATCAGCCTGGTATTGGACTTCAATTAGTTATATTTTCTGCTCAAACAGTATTTTGGTGGACTATATTGGCATGTATTGAAAATCGAGTTAAGATAGGACAATTTGTTTGTTGTTGTTGTTTAAATCGAAAAGAACTCAAGACAATTAATAGAAAGAGAAAACAAATGAATGGCAATGATTCAACAATAGCACTTGAATGGGATGATTCGGTATGGACGATCATATGATTATTTTATATGAAATAGATCTCTTCTTTTTTTTTTTTAATTTTCTGTTCTAGAAACTCGACAAAGATGTTAGAGATGAACGTCGAATTATTCTTAATAATAGGGAATTAAGTACATCGGCTGTTGTTCTTGTTAGAGACCTTGTTCAACAATTTAAGAAACGAAAAGGAAAATCACTTTTTTCGCCTTATTTTACAGCAGTTGATCATCTTAATTTTTATGTTTCAAAACAATCATGTTTTGGTCTTTTGGGTATAGAAAATTCATCAAATAGTTTAATATTAGACTTTTGAGACTTTTTTCTTTCTTTCTTCGAAGGTGCTAATGGAGCCGGCAAGACGACAACATTTCGAATGTTAATCAATGATATTCAACCTACGACAGGAGAAATAATTATTAACGGGAAAAATATTAATCAGACAGTAATTCTGTTTTTTTCTCACCTTTTGTTAGTCATTTAATTATTGACTGAATTTCTAAAGAAACAAGACATCGAAATGGGCTTTTGTCCACAATTTGATTGGCTTATCGAAGATCTAAATGTAGTCGAAACATTAAATTTATTTGCAAGGTAATATATCAACGATTCGTATAAAAGAATTAACGAAAAAACGTAGAAAATATAAATATAAAAAAAATTCAAGAGAAATAAAGAAAGAAGAATACAGAAGGAGCTAATATCAGGATGGGGGTGTGGGTGTGGATTAGGAGAGCATAAGCACTCATACCCACACTCTTAGAAGCTATATATGCATAATAATAGCTAACATTTGATGTAGCAAGAAAAAAAATACTATGTGCTATCAATTTCATTGTCTAGTGTGCATATAGATTCAAAACCAATTCTAAATAAAATTCCTCTTGAGTCAATAACGATCATTTTAGAATATCATTAGGAAACATTATTTTATTTTTTTGATAATCGATATTCATTCTTTGAAAATGTCCGATATTTGAAAAACTACTCAAAAAAGAAGGAAAATGTTGTTTTTTTGTTTTTCAATTTATGAAGTAGTTTCTTTGTGTGAATTTAATGATGGAGAAAACTTTGTGAAAATTTAATAAATGGTGTCTACTATCTCTTTGGATTCATAGATTGAAAGGCTTATCAACGACAGAAATTCCAATCACTTGTAATGAAATGATAGAATTATTTGGTCTTGAGCCTTATCGAGAGAGCGAAGTGCAAAACCTCAGGTGAATGTTACCTCTTTAAAAATATGTTATTATTTTCTAAAGAAAAATTTTTAGTGGCGGCAACAAACGAAAGCTAAGCGCTGCCGTAGCATTCATGGCTAATCCATCATTGGTTTTTTTAGATGAACCAACAACGGTAAGAATAAAATACGAGAAATATAAACAACGAACTGCTTACTGAAATTATTACATTCCATTATGAAAAAGATCAGATCAACTTAGCAAGTCATAAAAAATGGAAATAGGATTGTTTCAATGTATGAGAATATTCTCTTTTTTAATCTCTCTTTTCTTTCTAACTTTTGAAACGATACCCTGTAGAATACGGTATACAATGAAAGATTTTGTATTGCTAGCTTTACATATACAACAGATTCTCTTTGATGAACTATAGGGTTTGGATGCTGGTGCCAAACGTAAACTATGGAGTGTGATTCGAGCTGCTCGTGACGCCGGTTTGACAATAATCATGACAAGTCATAGGTAAAAGAATGATCATTAAGAAATCTTTTAAACTTTCCTTAACTTTTCAGTATGGAAGAGTGTGAAGCGCTGTGTAGCAGTGAGTTTTTTTCAAAAAAATTACTCGACCTATTTACAAACGTTATACTTCCTTATTTGCAGAAATCGGCATTATGAAATCAGGACAATTTATTTGTCTTGGTAATCTTCAACATTTAAAGAATCGGTTTGGTAAAGGTTATGCAGTGCAAGTTAAAGTATCTCTTGAGAGAATGAACGAATTTCAACAGGAACTTACTAGAATTTTGCCAGGAATCGAAATCGAAGGTATTTTTATATATTAATTATTATTGATTTTTTTTATTCTATCTTCAATTAATTAAACAGATGAACAAAATGGTGTACTTTTTTGTAATGTACCATTTTCATTGTCACCATCAAACAATATACAAAATGCACCATATTCATCTAATTTATCCCTTGTATTTGAAGTACTCAATGCAAAAAAAGAACAAAATATTATTGAGAATTATTCAGTTACCCAAACAACACTTGAGCAAATTTTTATTCGTCTAGCTGGTCATGATATAAATGATGATGATACTTTGACTGAGGTTGCCACTCTTTCATCTCAACCCAATTTGAACACTGAAGCCATCAATCAAGGTATAAATTATTCACTATGTTTCATACGACAAGGATTTGTTTCATTGAAATTCCACCGAGACGTTTGGTAGCATTTTTAAAATTAACTTTGTCTAAGCATAACGATTGATAAAAGCAAGTTCGAAGTAGAGCCATTAATGGACTCTCAAATTTTTTTTTAAAGAGAAAACAAACTTCTCATGCTTAAGCATCGGATTCACTATTAAAAAAATCAGTTGAGTGTGGTATGAAAATTCAGATCACTGTTAAAAGACAACAAAGATTTGTTGTATCGAAGTAAAATAATTCTATGTTAATGATAATAATGTATTTGAAAAGTATGATTAATTCTAAATGAAAATTCTGTATCAGAATGTTCGTAAAGAAGAAGTCAATACAATAAAAAAAAAAGAATCGTTTGTGGTTTTTTCTAGCATTTGTTATAGATTGCGCAGTTTCAACAAGCACCTTAAACAATTTGGATTCAGATCAATTCATGTCTGCTGAAAGTATCGATATTCATCTTTAATGTTTCTTGAAGCTACTGTTCAATTTATTTGTTATTACAAATTCGAATATATTATGTATTTTTTTATTATATTTTTTATAGTGTTTCAAAAGATTGTTTTTAGTTGTTTACTATGGTATTAATTACTTTCAGCGAAACGTCAAATAAAAAGAATTCTTTAGAAAATGCTAAAACTTGTTTTTTTTTTTGTACAAAATGAACAATTAGTGAAAACTCTTTCCGCATAATTCACTGAGAAAAAATAAAAATAGCATAATTATAAGTTAGGTTATGTATACTGGAGCAATTTATATTCGATCAAGCCATGATTAGAAAAAAAAACAATAATTCTATTCTCACTCTTTTTTAAGTTTCAACTTATGCTTCATTCGAAGCGAAAGAAATTTCGGCAGATTCTAGTTTATGTGATTCAGATTTTACGTACAGTTCTTCTTCACTTCTAACGAAGAACTTTCTAAGTTTTTTTCCCACTACATGACAATGCATGAATATTTGCATGATCATGTATTCTGATTTATTGTCTTACAGTGGAGAAAAACTTAGAACTGGCTGTGGGTATGGGTTTTCTGTTCAACCGATGAAGTACACTCACTTCACATCTATACTCACACCCAATTAAGAGAAGATAGACCAGAGAGTAAGAAAGAAAGAACTAAACGCATTCATTTCTTTACTCATGAAGTAACAAGAAGTCATCATTTTTCGTCAGATACTCGAGCTACAGATGATTTACGTCTATCGTGAGTAAAAGATATGCAAAAGAAATTTTTTTGATTGGCTATTTCAAAAAGAATCACTGAAATTGACCGAATTTTCAATAATCGAAGAGAAGAGTTAGCCTCGACACAGTTCCGTGCAATATAAGGTAGAGAAATGAGGTACGATACACTTAAATAAATGCAACAATGATTTCAAAATAAAAAATCGAAAACCTCCCAAAAGTGTACACCTCTGTAGAGTGGATACTTTTAAAAGGCTCCTTGAATGCCCACTATAGATAAGTTATACTGTTGAAGTTTATTTAATTCGTTTTTTTGCTATCGTATAACCTATATTAATATATTCTAAATTGATAAGTATATCTGCTGATATATATCCAATAAGTTTAACTGATAGAATATGGATTATTAATGAATGAATTTATACAAAACATATGGATATAGCAAGTGATATACTTTTATCATTAAGAATTAGAAGTTTTGAAATGCCTTGTTCAATGATTAATTAACATAGTAAGAAATTTTTGATTATTATTATTTGGTCAAATATCACCTAAATAAAGAATACGTAAATGAAGATTAGATGAAAATAAAATAGAATTGAAACAATAATTAAAATTAAAAAAAACACATGATAAATCATTTAAGTCTATGGTCCGATGCGATGAATGACGAATTTTTTAAGTACACTGAAACTGAAAATGATTGGATAAAACTTTTACTGAAAATTAAGTTCAATTTTTTGATTCTGATGATATTTAAATCGATGTCTGGAGGGGCTACTCGCATCTATTTTTTGGAATTTATTTATTTATTTATTCAGGATTTATCAATTATAGTGATGTTTTAACACATGCACACCCATCCACACCTAGATCTACACTTTCTCTTTCATCAATATCTCGTTAGTTCATATATCGTTATATACAACGATGATCGAAAACATTGACGACAATATCCTTGAAGATAGAAAAAGAGACAAAATATATCTTTTCTCGATACATAATAAATACAGAAAGTAACATTTTGTTATTCTACATAAATACAAATCTGTCGGTTCTCCAACATGTAGTTAGTATCCAGTAATTTTTTAATAGTATATATCATAGGGTATGATTATCTGAAATAATTGATTTTATTCGCAGTAATATTGACAAATGACATCAGTTCATTAACAATTGCTAATGAGTCAACAACAGCTCGGTCAATATATCAAAGAGTTGTTGCGGAAATTCTAAAAGTAGAAAATGATTTGAAGAGAAAACGAGAACAATTGAAAATTGGTGGTAATCAATTTGAAGACACGAGAAAACTGCCAAAGCCTATAAAAAATATCGATATGAGTTGACTTAATGATGGTGGTGAGATCGTGATGACAACTCGTGAAATTCTTACTTGAGTTCCGAAATCAATTCATTTCATTACGTTTAATGGTCGATGGGAACTTAAATTACAAAGAGATGAAACTCGAGATATCTTTTTGGATTTTAATCCAATTCTTTTCGCCATTTACTTGATCAAGCACAAAAATTAGATATAAATAATTTAAATCATTGTTCTCCTCCTTCTGAACTTCCACTGTAGAATCATTTAAAAAGATGCTTCAGAATTGCCTCTAACGCATGGCTGATTGATATATGACAATAGCATACAGAAATCAGTTTCGACACAGGTAATTGTTGAGAATACATTATTTTTATATACAATTGATATTGTTCTATTAAATGCAAAACTTCTTTGTCTCTTATTATTAAATTTGTTTTTATCGAGTTTTTTTATTGAAAAGTACAATGGCTGTGCTCTTCATTCATATATACATATCAATGAATAAGATCATGAATAAAAAAAATCAGAAGATAAAAAGAATCCTTTAATCCATGTTTTAGAAAACATGTCAGATCTTCGTACTTATATAATAGAACATCATATCTTTATGAACATCCTAGATATTTAATAAAACAATCAATTCTTTTCAAACTGATGAAGTGACAAAGTAATTATCGCTATTTTCCACTGCCAGTGATCCGCATGAATGTGTTACGGAATACTTTGTATTTGTTTGTACAAACCATTTGGTTGTTTTTATCTATCGAATACATCCACACATACATTGACCTACACATAAAGTATTGTGATATATAAAGCTTAATCTGACATACTCATATTTCAACGTTAATTATTTGGGTATACTAGAAAAATTTTAACTAGAACTATAATTACAAAAAATATTGGATATAATCATCGTTTAGTAAATATTCTACGTGAATAAACATGAAAGTTAACTACTTTTGAAGAACTTGATAATAGTACCAGACTCTCAAATAAATCGACACTATGATTGCTCTTTTAACCTTTCATCTATGATTTTTATTTAATTTAAATTACGCTGTTAAAAAAATGAAATAATGGCATGAACTTTATATTTTTTGTTTAAATGTTGAGAACAAGAATTCGAATCTTAGTCCTAATTCAATTATAAAGATGCATTCAAATTTTTTTATATTTTATATATCTACTATAAATATCAGTCAACAGTGCTGTTTTGTATTTATTACTGTTTGAAGATATTAACAAAATAGATCGAAGCAATAGACAATTTGTGAGTTATCAATTAACTAAAATTTATCATGCTTCAATGCTATTCAAGTAAGATAATAATTCCGAAATAGACATTTGTCAACTATCATCTTTTCTTATCCAATGCTTGAATTACTGTATGCTCCAGTATTTGTATCAAATGTGAGAACCATATTTTGTGTTACGGAATTGGCTTGATCAAAGGAATATTGCACAAATGGGCCACTACTCGAACCTAGAACATCAGAACGACTTATATGAATAAATGAATGTCTATTGTTTTGCTTCGTTACCTTGAATACCAACAGTAGCAGAGGCACCTTCATCAGTAACTTCATAATAAATAAATTGAACAATACCAGGCATATTTTCAAAGAATACAACTTGAAAATTATAATAGTCAGTAGATTGTTGATAATGACTACAGTAATATTCAATGATGAACGTTCGATTTGGAGTATTACCTTGTTTATCAAAGTATATGCCTTGTGATGTGTTGACAAAAATGTACAGATCATCCCAATATGGTAGAATTGTTGCACCAGAAAACGCACTAGTAGGAAGAGCAGTTTCAGTGAAAGTAGTAGAACAGCTTTGAAGACAAATCACCTATTAAACATAAAATGAATATTCTAAACGCTCTATGACCGAAAAAAAAACATACACCATTAGTTGTTACTGTGATAGAGGTTGTCGTCGTATTATAAAGAGTGATATTAAATGGTACACTTATAGTAAAGTATTTATCATCGACTGATCCATTGACAGAAGCTGCCCATATGAATGTTCCATTAATTATTTTGATACTTGATAGAGTACTACATAAACCAGCTGAACAGCTTGTGTAGGTTGATGGACATACGTTATTAATCTTACCACAATTGTTAATATCGATTAATACATTAATACAATTTCCGGAAGGTTCTTGCACGTAAGGTGAAACACATTTAACTAAATAAATTTATTTAAGATGTCGGCAATTCGAAAATTTCGGCAACATATTTTTTTTCTTCTCATGATTAGATAGAGCTCATCGAGCTACCTATAAAAACACTGTTTTTGTAGTGAAATTTAGCAGAAAAGCTTATTAAAAATTGAAATATGTCAAAGACATCAAGTCTCGGTAGTCTGAGTATTTGTCCGAATTTTTATTTTGCCCATCATATAACTAGAAAAAAAAGAAATTATACACTTTTTTTTCTAAAAACATGGTACAATTGTTGAGATTATTAATTTTTTCGATGTGATAGTAAAAATATAATAAATATGGCCTTGAATTCTAAAATGTTGATCATCAAAACTTTAGTTCAGAAAGCAACGAATATCATATTCACGATTAGCATAAAAACTGGCTTTGAGTATCGAGTATATTGTTCAATGCAGATTTTTGTGCTGATCAGGAACTGAAGTTCTGATGGTCAAAACCTTAGAATACAAACCTATATTTATGGCATTTTTTGCTATCATATCGAAAAAAAACGATTTTCTCAATAAGTAAAAAGTTTTTCAAAAGATTGCCTAACTTTTTGCAACTATAAGATGAATTAAATAAAAAAAATATAATGCGAATAAATATTAAGAGTTCGAAGATTTAATGCTTTTACGCAGTTCAATTTTTAATTGGCTTCTCTAATTTTTTTAAACCTAATTTTCCTAAGTTTTACAACAAAACAATATTTATATAGGTAACTCAGCAAGCTCTATTTAATTACTATGAGAAAAATAGAACTAAAAGTTATGCGTAAATTTCGAATTAGTCGCACGTTAGAAAAAATTCGTTTAGTAATTTGCCAAGGTCTATTTTAAACATACGGACGAGACAACTTATTTTTGTTTTTAATATATCATTTATCTGTTTTAATTTTCTTACATACAAGTAAGTTATGAAATAATTTTCGAAGTAAATGGTTTTGATTTCTTTTAATTTGTATGTAAAAAAAAGTGAATTTTTCACATTTGTTTATTAAAACTGTCATACCTGTAGTAGCTAAAAACAATACAAAACATAAATAAATAAATGAATCAATATGCAATAAATCTCTTACTGGTAGTTTTTGTCGTTGTTGTGGTTGTAGTCGTTGCTAGAAATAATTCAATAGTATGAAAACTATGTTACAAAAATTTCAAAATATATTATGACACATTTCATTCTTATTTTTGTCTCTTATATAAACTTATATATCACTTCAGAAAAAATTCATTTACTAACTTGTTGTAGTTGGTTTAGTTAATAGAACAAGAGTAGCAATCAACATAGCGAATATACCAATAGCGAGTAATATAAGTAATGCAAGTAACGCTAGCAACACATATGTTTTCCATCTGATAAAAAAAGAAAAGAAAATCGATGTTAGTTTTTAAACGATAATATGTGATAATATACATGATGTAATTATTGTTACTCGGCACTTCTCTGAGATGATCTGTTGATGTATAAATATCTCGAGGTGTTGTTAGTCTTGTATTAGGCGGTGATTGATTTCGAAATGAATCAAATTGATTGTTTCTTACTATTTCAATAGTTCGAGATGGTGCAGTGTTCTTGTCCTGTAAGTATCGATATTAAATAATTCTTTTTTCAGTTAATTGTAATCACAAGAAAAATAGAACTCGAAGTTTTGTATTTGCTTATGTCATAAAGACTGACAGAACTAATTAATAAGGTTAACAGATTTGTTTTGAAATATCTGTTGGTATTACTCACAGCTTTATAAAAAAATATTCGAAGTGGTTTCGCTGCAGTAAGACTTTCACTACTCGTCGGCATTGTTAATCATGTGATTCTGATAAAAATTTAAAATATTTTTCAAAAAAAGAAAAATCTTTTTTTCTCTTTCGACTATGAAAATGTATGTGTCATGACTTGTAACATTAAGAAAAAGTATTTTCCAATGTTTCCATAATGTTGATTTGCTTTTCTATATTAGTAGAAAATCTAATTTTCAAGATGCTGAAATAATAAATCAACCGACGTCAGAATATACAAAAAAAAGTGATACTTACATTTACTAAGTTCCGAACAGGAAAAGATCGTTTTGATTGACTATTGCAGGCTTTTTATATTTTTTTTCTTCTTCATATTACTTAGCATTCAAAGTGTCTCGGAGGAAAATGTAAGCATAATATATATGAACCTTATTCAAAAGAATTGTATATATAAAATGAGCAAAATAATTGTCAAATTCTACAAGAGATATTTATCAGGAAGTAGAATTCTAATACATTGGATTATTTCTACATTTTAAAATTGTTTATTGGAAAAAAAATGTAATATTATGAATTAATAAATATTTATTTTCATGGTTTTCAGCTTTCGTAAATGCTGATAAAAACCCAAATAGCAATATAAGGGAAGAAATTAATTATTACTGTAACGATTGCTACAATACATATACAATTTATTAAAGTTACTAAATAGTATACTAGGAATAATTGTTTAAAATACATGTAATCACTACAATATGCTGTGAACGTATCATAACGAAAATCACAATACTTTACAAATAAAAATGCTTTCTGCAAAAAACCAAAAGTGGAGATTTAGAATGCTATTCATAGTCTTATTTTTCAAATAAGTTGTGCTTTAGAAAGAGAAAAAAACTATATTACTTGAATAAGATATACAATTTTGTTCAGAATTCTACAGCAAATCTTTTGCGAAAATAAAATAATCGAAGCGATGAAAATTAGCCGACATATGTACAAAATATTCTGCTGTATCCGTTACAATTTCAGGCAAAATTATCGAAAAATAAAAACAAAGACAGTTGGAATCAATTATTGATTAATGAATAAAAATATACTTAGGGGTACCCAAAAGTAGTGGTGGAGATATCTTATTTTCGTGTAGAAGGCTTGTGGAAATTTTCTTTTTTTATGAGGTGATAGAGAAAACGAAACTCTATTTTTCTATGCTATTTCATCCGTATTCTACTGATACCATAATAATAAAATTTCGATAGGAACTGTTTTTGTTGAAAACTTAACTAACTGATGAGACAGATTAAATGGATACGTTTTACATTTCAATTTTCAATCACTTAAAACGTTGTATTAAAAACAAAATATACCACACGATGCAACGTGAAAAGCTCTACAATTTATATAAGACCGCTTATTGTAATTGCCCACTTCTTGTTTTCAAAAAAAGCAAAATTCTGTGTGACTGCTCCAAAAAAAATCACTTTTTTCAATACAAAGAGCAATTCCTTTTTTCTTATCTCATATATAAAATAAACTGTTCTTTATAAATTGTAGAGCTTTTCACGCTGCATCTTGTGGTATATTTCGTTTTTAATAAAACGTATTAAGTGATTGAAAATTGAAATGCAAAACGTATCTATTTAATCTGCCTCATCAGTTAGTTAAGTTTTCAACAAAAACAGTTCCGATCGAAATTTTATTATTATGGTATCAGTAGAATACGGATGAAATAGCATAGAAAAATAGAGTTTCGTTTTCTCTATCATCTCATAAAAAAGGAAAATTTCCTCAAGCCTTCTACACGAAAATAAGATATCTCCACCACTACTTTTGGGTACTCCTAAGTATTGTAATTTAGATTGTTTGTTTTTTCACATTATTTATGCAGGTAAAGAATATTAGCATCATGATCATTTTATGCATTGATGTCTTTGATTAATATTTACAATATATGACTCATTCAAGAAATCATGCCTTGAATCGTCAAGATTAGACATTTTAACTTTTTGCAAACATCCTCTAGAACATCCTACATAACTATTATTTTTTTTACATGAATAGATCGTTGTATTTATTTATGATATTGAGTATGTATATAGAAAAATAGTAAATGTCTGCATGCTTACCATTGGCGTCAATACTGTATACACATGCTAAAAGAATATAATAAATGTGTAGTATACCTTAGAACGTGACTTCAATGTTTTGTGGATAAAATTACGGGTTTTATTGATATTTTGCTCATACATATTCAAAAACAAGTGACGAGNATATATAAAATAGATAGTACGTATATAGTCAATTCTTTTATCTATATGATTTTGGCTATTTATATTGAACGTATTAATCCAGGTGAATTCTGTATATCACAACCATGGAGTTATTTATGTAAAAAAGGTTATTGGAAATCACGACGAGTATCTTCTGTCAAACAACACGAGATTGACAAGAATAAAGATAAAACCGATTTGACTGTGGAAAATAATCGTTGGATTGAATCGAGTTCTCTTGCCAATACAAGATTACCTGTCTTAAGTACAAATCATGTGACAAAAGTAAGATATGCTACTAGTTAAAATTCGATTTGTTACTTTTGTTTTTAACTAACATTTGACCTTTAGAAATTTGGCAAATTGAACGCTGTTATGGATTTATCTCTTGATTTTTACAATGGTGAAGTGTGTTCATTGTTAGGGCATAATGGAGCAGGCAAAACGACCACGACATTTATTCTTGTTGGTATGAGTTTTGTTCATAAAATTAAACTGTTTTCCTAAGTAGACTTATGAATATGAGACACCGAAATAACAGTAATAAAGGTATAAGAGATAAAAAAAGATATCTTTCTTTTTTTCAGATATTCAATACAGATGTTGAAAGTAACGACCAGTATTTTATAGAAAATTCGTTGCAATACTGCTGGATTTTGTTCCGAATATGATAGCAGTGGAAAAAATCGATTTCTGATATTTCTATAATTTCAAAAATTCTAGTAATTTCGGAAATGATCTTACTACGTAAGGTCCAAAATTAAATCTCCAGAAATTTGGTCCCAATAGATATTAAATGAAACAACACATATCTTTATCTTTGGTTTAGAATTTCATTTGTAACATATATAGATTACATAGAATATGTTAATGCTCTGTGATTTGGATACTTTTTCATATGAAAGATATCATGATTCTTTACATAGGCAGTTCATTCGAGAAAAGGCGTTCTAGGAAAAGATGCGACTCCCTGCAGTATTGAGCCAATCGAAACAAAGAGCATCTAAACATAATGTTAGTGTGATCATTGACATGATCTATGGTCAATTTAATTAGAATCGATGCATCTTCTGTCGACGGCAGCAAGATACTTTGTCAAGCATAATTACTTTGTTTAAGTTCGTTCGCCATGATGTATTTATACTTCATAAATTATAAAGGATACATGGTGTTTGTCCCTATCGTGATCACTTACTTTTCTCTTTTGTATTTAGTCCTAAAGATGCCATCATTATGATTATTGGAAAATCACTCAAAATCACCGTACCTCGGAAAATTTTCGGTCAGCTTTTCATTGACTTTCTTATTCTAATTGACGAGGCCATTAAGTTTATAGATCTTGATTTTCATAATTTATCTTAGTCCAGTAAAGATTATGAAGCATACTAGCGAGATCCCGTGCATACTGCACGGCTATTGTTTTCCTGTAAATTTTCACATCTGTGTTTAAACCTTGACCCGATAACAGACAATCAGACACTTTGCAATATATATATAGATTAAAATAACACTCCATAATCCATACCCACATTCCAGTTTCAAACAAGAATCTGTTATGCTTTCTTTACTATTTTAAAACTTGTGTCTAGGTGTGTTGGAACCGACATCGGGTTCTATCACTGTTGAAGGATTGGATGGTCGAATGCATATTCAAGAGATTCGAAAAATTATTGGTTTTTGTCCATAATATGGTAAAAATACCGATTCTTTTTAACAAAAACATTTACTAAATAAATAAATAAAACTTTAGATATTCTCTACGATGAATTATCTGTTAGAGAACATTTGAAACTAGTCGCAGAGGTATGCAATCATCGAATAATAAGTTTTATCGGTTTTAATTGAAATTTGATGTTTTTTTTTGTCTTTGGAAGATGCGTCAAATGAGACGAAAAGAAGCGGAAGAATCTATTGATAATATTCTTAACCTAACCGGACTGGTCGATCAACAACACACATGGGCAAAGAATTTGTCTGGTGGTATGAAGTGTCGGTTATCTATCGGTATTTCATTGGTTGGTGATTCGAAAGTAAAGAAATTTCTTTGAAAAATATTTTTTCCCGTATCTTTCTATAAAAATGAATTTTATCTATTAACTATTCTAGGTATTGATTTTGGATGAACCAACTAGTGGCATTGGTAAGTACGATAAATACATTTCAGGTAGAATTTGAAATGCATCGAGTCATATTTTAAATATATCACTAACACTCTTTGAAATGTAGAGAGTGATTCTATATTTCGGAAGATCATTGTGAAATTTAAATATAAAATCCATTCGAAAGTTATCGATTGAAAGCCACTTCCATTGATACATGAGAGCAATGAAAAAAAAATGAAAAAGTCAACATCGTTCTATAACAAAGAAACGAATCGTTATTTTAAAACCAATATGAAACTTGCAAACTATATAGCATACACTTAATTGTGATTTTATCTAAAAGAAAATAAGTGAATCTCGTTCAGACTCGCAGTAAGTTTGTGATAGAAAGCTTTGTTGAATATTCAAAAGAGGAAAAATTCATTTTAAAGAATGACTAATCGATTTTATTTTCATGATCTTACAGAGAATCATGTCTCAGTATTTAATTACAAGCTTAAAGCTTCAGTTCAATTTTACTGTGTCCAGGTTTCCGAGTTAGTTGAGAAGAAAATTTCTATGAATACTACGTTGTTCACAAACTGACTGTACAAAGTCAACATAAATTTTCATTGACAGTAGATATATTATTGCAAAATTTTGGTCATATATCGAACATAAGGTTTGCTATCTATATTATTCAAAATCTGAATTCATTTGGCAAATTTATCACACACGAGATAGATATCACGTCAGGATTTATAAGTAGTATGTAGAGATCAGTAAATTCGTCTGTGTAAAGTACCTGATCATTGGAATTAAGTAATTTACAGTAGTAGTCATGATCATAACATATGCGCTGAAGGAACAATTATTGAACAAATATACTAGAAATGCATTTAGCTCAACCTCTTGGAAGAGGAGCAGATAACACGACAATACGAAACCAATGTTTTTAACGTAAAACTATTTTTCTATATCTTCGCTCTAATATTCGCTCATTATCTATTAGATAAAAAAAACCTTACGATCACATTTTCAAAAGCAAAATACCAAAAGAAACGTTTTGATTGTATCTAATTCGCTTTCTATTGTAGATTCATACAATCGTCGTCTCATATGGACAATTATACGCAAAATGAAAGAAGCCGGAAAATGTATAATTATGACAACACATTTCCTTGAAGAAGCCGATGTTCTATCAGATCGAATCGCTGTTATGACTAAAGGTCGATTGCAAGCAAATGGAACACCTGAATTTCTCAAACAGCAAACAGGTTTTCTGAAAAATTTCATCTGAAAATAACATATATCGTAAGTTTGATATATCTTAGATTTTGAATATCGCATTTTTATTGACAAAAATGAAAATTGTGACATTCAACATATAACTCAATTCTTTCAAGAACATGTACAAACTGCTGTATTAGAAAGACAATCACCATCGGAATTAGTGTTCGGCATCAAACGTGGTACATCACAACGAATTAGTCGATTAATCAATGCTCTTGATGAACAAGGTTCAAATATTGGCATTAAGGGATATGGTTTGTCAATGACAACAGTGGAAGAAGTATTCTTAAAGTAGGTCATTTTGATATATAGTTTTACTAATAAGTATCTTTCAAGTGATTTCAATTGAGAAAAGTACTGAATGATCAAAAGCATCCTAACATGATATCTTACCCATTCTTAAAGCAAGAAATTTGAAATTTTTAGCATATAGAATACTTTTAGAGTTCAGGGCAGCGAGATCAGTCTGACTTGACTTGTTTGTATTGAGAAGATTTATGATATATAATAGATTTTTCTAACAATAAGTCGGATAGGTCAAAAAGAGAATAATGTTATGACTCGATTATTCGATAATTATGCTATTCTTCACAACAATGAATCACAATATGAATTTCACCGAATTGTATCTGTCGGAGGTTAAAAACTTACATATTTATATAATAATACAATCAAAATAATAGATTTGATCAAAATTTCAGATTTTTGTTCTTTAAGAATAGTTGAGAATCTAAGAGGATACTTTTGTGAACAGTAATGATTTTTCATTATTGAAGACTATATGAATACTTGTATCATGAAAAAAACAATTTTTAAGACTACTCTATCATCGAGGAAAAGTCAGTCCAATTGATTGAAGTTGAGTATCTCAAGAATGAAAAAATGAAGATTTCTCGAGAGATTTAAGAATTTTTGTATCTATCTGATAACTTAACGGTTGTCGGCTCCAGTTTTTAGAAACCTCACTAAACTCTACTCAAGATGTATTTAATGCAGAATAATAAATGATGACGAATCGGATTATCAAATTTCTTATTCTATGAAAAATTTTCAGCACAATCGAAGACGAAAATTCGCATCATATCTTTTATAGACTGTGACAGAAACATGTTGATATGCTGGAAGTGTGGATTTGACGAATTGGTTATGTTATAAAGACCCGGGGAGGTGTATTTCTTTATTTTGAGACTTTAAATCGATATGAAGTTCAGAATTTTCAACAAATCTATCACAGTCTTTGGAACGGGTCGAGTGTAATACAAAGTGGGATTTATTAATTTTTCTTGCTGACTACTTTAGCACTCGTCAACAAATAGGCTTTGTAAAAAAAAACTTGATCAGAAATATCTAATTGAGCCGCTTATAATTATGTTGAAAATATTATTTTCTGACATTTATTTTGAATAAATTCAATTGTCTATGTTTTGTTTATTTATTTGCTTTAATAAAACAGACTCGTCGAAGAAGAAAAAGAAGAAGAAACAAATGAAATTAAACAAGATCAAGAAAAATCAAAAATCTAATCTAGCAAAAACTGGTATTCATATATTTATTATGTAATTCAATTGAATTTATTAGTTCTTTATTATTATAGTATTTCATCGAAATTACAATCATATCACCGGTTTCTATCTCATTTGGATTCGACTTTTAACATTAATTATGAAACGATGGATTCTTTTTCGTCGACAAATATTTGTTCTACTTGGCTTCTTTTGAGGACCTTTAGTAATCGAAATTATAACTATATATGCATTACCTTCTCGAAATAGTATTCAAGCATCACTTTTACAAAATGAACGCATTAAAGATGCTCAAGTTACACTTATTCCATCAATATATAAGTAGAAAAAAAAAACTTGAATTTTTTCTATTTCATCAATTGATTGAGATTAATTTTACAAAAATTCTGCTACAATGCAATAGACTAATATTTTTGAAAACTTTTCATAAACAATTAACAACCATCGTTAGCTCGTATAACATATTTTAACGATAAACTAAACTTTTTTTTACAGATCAATTTTAATAGTTATGAATTTTTTAATGTATTCTATAACAGAAGAGCTTCGTTGAAAAACGTTGATACAAAAAATTGAAACTAGAACAAAAAGAACTTTTGTCATCAGAATGTGTCGTTTAATGATTAAATCAGTTGTTATTTATCATTGTATTACACAATCGAAAAGTGTCCATGACTCGTTCATAATTTAACCTAAGGAAAATTGAAATTTTCAGTTACTGACTTCAAAACAAATGAGTTTTATTTTTCAAGTCATACTAGAAAATTTCTTTCTATGTTTTAGATTGGATCTATAGCTCATTCAAATCCAGAAGTCGAAGTTCACATTTATCAAGGTACCGAACAGATCAGTTACTTTTTTCTTTTATATGTCATGTATTCATTGGCTTCATTACCATTCATGTATTCCTATTCATTCATATCCGAATCTGAATTGATTGGTTTTATTATGTTTTTGATTCTAAATATGGCTGCATGTTGTTTTGATATGGTTCTCGATTTTATTGCGGTATTTTCACAAGCTTCTCCATCGTCGAGTCCTGATAAAATGGGTACAGCTGCGCAGATCATGCTGATTCTTCGTTTTATTCTTGCGGGTTTCTTTCCAACAGTCAATTTCAAACAATCTTTATTCAATATTCATCTACGTTCAGATGCAACTTGTATTTCAGCAATTAATTCTATAATGATTACTAATTATTCTCCTGATGAACCATGGACATCAGCCAATGAACCTGGTATTGGACTTCAATTAGTTATATTTTCTGCTCAAATTGTATTTTGATGGACCATATTGGCATGTATAGAAAATCGAGTTAAGATTGCACGATTTGTTTGTTATTGCGGTTTTAATCGAAAAGAACACAAGACAATTAATACAAAGAGAAAACAAGTGAATGGCAATAATTCAACAATAGCACTTGAATGGGATGATTCGGTATGAGTGATAATATGAATATTTTATATGAAATAGATCTCTTTTTTCTTTATTCTCTATTCTAGAAACTGGATATAGATGTTCGAGATGAACGTCAAATGATTCTTAATCATAGGGAATTATTTACATCGACTGTTGTTCTTGTTCGAGACCTTGTTCAACAATTTAAGAAACGAAAAGGCAAATCAATTTTTTCGCCTTATTTTTACAGCAGTTGATCATCTTAATTTTTATGTACCAAAACAATCATGCTTTGGCCTTTTGGGTATAAAAAATTGATCAAATAGTTTGATGTTAGACTTCCGAGATTTTTTCTTTCTTTCTTTCTTCCTTTCTTTGAAGGTGCTAATGGAGCTGGCAAGACGACAACATTTCGAATGTTAATCAATGATATCCAACCAACTGCAGGAGAAATAATTATTAACGGGAAAAATATCAATCAGACGGTAATTCTGTTTGTTTTTTGCACCTTTTCTTAGTCATTGAATTGTTGACTGAATTTCTAAAGAAACAAGACATCGAAATGGGTTTTTGTCCGCAATTTGATTTGCTCATCGAAGATCTAAATGTAGTCGAAACATTAACTTTATTTGCAAGGTAAGAAATCAATAATTCATATAAAAAATTTAACGAAAAAACGTAGAAAATATATAATATAGAAAAATACGGAATGGAGAATACAGCAGGGGCTAATATCAAATGGAAGAAATGCTCCGAAAAGAGAAGATCAAATCAGAAAATGTTGCAATGATTATGTTCAGTTTCTTGATGACAGTTTATTATTTTTCTAGCATATTATGTCTTTTACAGATATTTGGGGAAACTCAATTAAGTATTAATACAGGAAATATAGGAATCCTGAAAAAACAACTAATCATGCTTGTTAATAACCGTTCAAGATAGAATGATCAAAGAAAATTTTCGAGTTATTTCCGAAGTCAATTAAGTTCTTGTGTTAAGTAAATTCAAAATTTTATCTATTATTGGTATTCATTAAATTTATAACATCCTTTTCGTATTTTATATTTATTATTTTGACAATTTCTACTTCAACGTTTTCTTCGGATTCCCACGCAAATATGAAAACTTATTGGATGAATTCAAAACACACAGTACTGTACAGAAAATTTAGGGAAAAAAGGACATATTTTCATAAGTTTGTTAGAAGATGTATATGTATAATAGCGAACATTTGATGTAGCAAAAGAAAAATAGTATATATTACCAGTTTCATTGTCTAGTGTACATTTAGAGTCAAAACTAATTCTAAATAAATCACTTTTGAGTCATTATGATCATTTTAGTTTTTTAATGATCGATATTCATTCTTTGATAAATGTCTGATATTTGAAAAACTATTAGAAAGGAACAAAATATTGTTTTTTTTTTGAATTCATAGATTGAAAGGTTTATCAATGGTAGAAATTTCAATCACGTGTAATGAAATGATAGAGTTATTTGGTCTTGAACCGTATCGTGAACGTGAAGTGCAACACCTTAGGTGAGTGTCGCATCTTTAAAAATATGTTATCATGTTCTAAAGAAAAATTTTCAGTGGTGGCAACAAACGAAAGGTGAGCGCTGCTGTAGCATTCATGGCTAATCCATCATTGATCTTTTTGGATGAACTAACCACGGTAAGAATAAAATACGAGAAATATAAACGACCAGCTGTTTACTAAAATTGTTGCATCCCATATGATAAAGATCAGATGGACTTAACTTGTCATAAAAAAAAGAAAATAGGATTGTTTCAATGTATGAGAATATTCTTTTTTAAATCTCTCTTTTCTTTCTGGATTTTGAAATGATACCATGTTGATTATGGTACACTTGGAAAGATCTTGTATCACTTGCTTTACATATATAAAAGATTCTATTTGATCAACTATAGGGTTTGAATGCTGGTGCAAAACGTAAACTATGGAGTGTGATTCGAGCTGCTCGCGACGCAGGCTTGATAATAATCATGACAAGTCACAGGTAGAAGAATCATCGTTAGGAAATTTTTCTATCTTTCGTTAACTTTTCAGTATGGAAGAATGTGAAGCACTGTGTACAAGTGAGTTTTTTTAACAAAAAAAAAATGTTCGACCTTATCTACAAACGTTATGCTTTCTTATTTGTAGAAATCGGCATTATGAAATCGGGTCAATTTATTTGTCTTGGTAATCTTCAACATTTAAAGAATCGTTTTGGTAAAGGCTATGCAGTACAATTCAAAGTATCTCATGAAAAAGTGAAAGAATTTCAACAGGAACTTACTAGAATTCTGCCAGGAATCGAAATCGAAGGTATTGTAATATATTATGTATCATTGATTTTTTTTAAAATTCTATCTTCAATTAACTGAATAGATGAACAAAATGGTGTTCTTTTTTGTAATGTACCATTTTCATCGTCGCCATCAAACAATATACAAAGTGCACCATATTCATCTAATTTATCCCTTGTATTTGAAGTACTCAATGCAAAAAAAGAACAAAACGTTATTGAGAATTACTCAGTTACTCAAACAACACTTGAACAAATTTTTGTTCGTCTAGCCGGTCATGATATAAATGATGATGATAGTTTAACTGAGATTGCTTCTCTTTCATCTCAAACCAATTTGAACACTGATGCCATCAATCAAGGTATGTATTATTTACTGTATCTCATGTGAGAAAGATTTGTTCCATTGAAATTTGGACGAGAAGACTGGTAGCATTTTTCAAATTAACTTTATCTAAGCATAACGATCGATAAAGACAAGTTCGAAATAGATTCATTAACAGAGTCTCACATTTTTTTTTGAAGATAAAACAAATATATGTTAATGATGATAATATATTTTAAACGTATGATTGATCCTAAATGAAAATTCTATGTCAGAACGTTCATAAAGAAGAAGTCTCTACAATAAAAAAGAATGTTTTTTTTTTTAAGCATTTGTTATTGATTGCACAGGTTCAACAAGTACCTTAGACAATTTGGATTCAGATCAATTCATGTCTACTGAAAGTATCGATATTCATCTTTAATGTTTCTTGGAACTGCTGTCCAATTCGTTTGTTATTGCAAATTCAAATATATTATATATGTTTTTTTATTATAATTTTCAGTGTTTCAAAAGATTTTTCTAATTGTTTATTATGATATCTATTACTTTGAGCGATATATCAAATAAAACAAACATTTTAAAGAAAATGTTGAAAATTTGCTTTTTTTTCACAAAATGAACAATCAGTGAAAATTCTCTCCGCGAAATTCACTAAGAAAAATAAGGATAGTATAGTTACAACTTAGTTTATATATATTGATGCAATTTATATTCGATCGAGTCATGATCAGAAAAAAGACAATAATCATATTCTCACCCCACTATCTCATATAGTAAGAAAGTTATAAGCTTAGAAATATTCTTTACAAAAAAAAAATAAAAATTAATCACATCTATTCAAAAACTATAAAATGGTTCTTTATTTAAAAAAATGTTGTTTTACTTAACATTATATTTGTTTACCATGAATATCACAATCAGAATTTATCAGATTCAATGTTCATAAACTTGATTTTCATTTGTCTAGTATGAAAGAAATACTCGAGAAAAAACATTTGAAAAATCGTGCTACATTAGTTCGTTTTGTTAGTTCAGAATGGAGTTAAATTACACCTAAACAATATGAAGCAATGATGGAAAAAATACCAAAACGTCTGACAAAGATGATAAAAGTTAATGGAAATCTAGTTTATGAATATTGAATATAATAAATTCTGATTGTGATATTCATGGTAAACAAATATAATGTTGAGTAAAACAACATTTTTTTAAATAAAGAACGTTTTTATGGTTTCTGAATTGTCGTGCTTAATTTATATTTTTTGTGAAGAATATTTCTAAGCTTATAACTTTCTTACTATATGAGGTAGTGGGGTCAATGAATAATCATTTAGTAGAACATGTTTTACTAAAGAAAAATTTATTATTCAAATCAAGTCAGGACTTCTTGACTACCCTTTATAGGTACAAATATAAGTGGTGGAATGTTTTGATTCTAGGGTAGACTCAACATTTTTTTATAACAGTCTTATCTGGACGTTAAAATTAAGGAAAGATGAGTTTTTGAATACCATTTAGATGAAATACAGTTAGTGTCTCTTCTATCGAGCTCATATTTTGGAATGTGTAACAGTGTTGGAATAAAAAAAAAACCACACAAAAGTTTATATTCATCGAAATGCTTCTTTCGAAAGAAGAGATTCTCACCTGATCGAAAAAAAGTGGAATGTCGAAGCAGAAATGTTTCTTCGCTGTTGAAAATATTTAATAGGTATGTAACCTTAGTTGCCGAAGGCGAAGAAAATTTTGGCAGGTTCTAGTTAATCTGGCTCAGTTTTTTTCGTACAGTTCTTCTTCACTTCTAATGAAAGATCTCCAGTGCAATTCATTTGACGATGTATGATTTAGTATTGACTTCTACAAAACTTAATGTTTCCTTCGGGTGGACGTGAAGTGTGAGCATGGTTTGAGTGCACTTCATCGGTTGAACAGAAGACCTACACCCACACCCATGCTAGGTTTTTCCCCCACTACATGACAATTCATGGGTATTTCTATGGCCATGTGTTTTGATTTATTGTCTTGTAGTAGGGGAAAAAGCCTAGCATGGGTGTGGGTGCGGATCTTGTGTTCTACAGATCAAGTACACTCACTCCACACGAACATCCACATCCACATTCCAAATCAACATCTACACTCACACCGGCTCCCCCACACCTACACCCTAATTTTCTCTGATGTATATAAAATGTCTGTACTATTATTACTTGTTTAAATTGTTTGTTGTTTTTTTTACATTGAAGTTGTAATTGCCTCTAACGTTAGGCTGATTGATATAGGACAATAGCATACAGAAATCGGCTCCGACACACGCGAGTATTGGGAAAATATTTTTTTCATATACAATTGATATTGCTCTATGAAATGCATCACTTCGTCATCTCTTATTATTCAATTTGTTGTTATCGAATCTTTTGATCGAACATTAACTATTATAGCTGCGGTCTTCATTCATATATATATATCAATGAATAAGATCATGAATAAAACAAATTCAGAAGATGAAAAGAATCCTTTAATTCATGTTTCAGAAAACATTTAAGATCTTCATGCTTATAACTTATCATAGAGCGTCATGTTTTTATAAACATTCTCGATATTTAATAAAACAATCAATTTTTTTAAAAAGCATGAAGTGACAAATTAATTATTGTTATTTTTCATTGCAAGTGATCGGCATGAACGTGCTATGGAGTGTTTTCAATTTGCTTCTACAAACCACTTTATTGTTTTTATCTATCAAATACACTCACACACAAACATTGATTTACACGTTAAGTATCATGATGTGTCAGGCTCAATCTGACAAATTCATATTTCAACGTTAAATATTCTTTTATACTAATTAGTTAACGTAAATATGGAAAGGAAAAATTGTATTTCAGACCGTATCTGAAAGGTTTGATTTTAGCGTGTGCTTCATATGAAATTTTGTGACCTTTGTGCTTGGTGTGGTATCGATTGAAATGAGCGTCGTGTGCTCACTTTGGCTCAGCTGTAGGATTTCGATGTAGGGATAGTTTCGACATGAAGAATTTTTTTGAGATGGCAGATGAATTGTTTTGATGTAGGTTTTTTTTGCGCGTCACTTTGTGTTCCTTGTGCATTAGGCGGAATGGATTGAAATTGGTGTTGAATGCTCACTGATAGTTAGTTTTGCTCGGCTGAGTTGATGAATGTGTGATAGTTGCAAATTGCATTTGTGGTCGCATCTGTGTGATTTGATTTTAGCTTTGTTTCTTGGTGAAAGAGATTGATATGTTATTGCGAAGTTAAGTTCTTTGCGGAATGGAAGATTGAGGCTTGGGTGTGCTTATATTCTACTGCTATATGTGTGAAAGTGTTTTGAATATATAATGTGTTTGAGGTCAGTCTAGTGGTTTACGGTAGCGGAGACGATCCCTTAGTTAGTTAGCTCTGGTTTTATGTATTTCGTAGGCGAAAGTGTAGAATGTGATACCGGATCATTTTGATAGCTCATGTCTTTGATGGAAGTATGGGTGTGTTTGTTTGGTAGTTTTCGTTAGGTTCCTGTCTTCGGACTTCGGGCCGGACTACGTCGGAAAAGTGTCGATCCTCTTGTTCGGCCGGTTCCAAAAGGCATCCGATAGAATCCAATGCCGGGGTTTGAGTATTGTAGGTCAGCGAATCTGGCGCCCGAATCATGTCGGAAACCATCGTATACGTAGCGGATTGCGTCGGAATTCGTCGAAATCCGTGGCGATGTTCATTGGATCCTACTGGGTTGGTGTCGAAATCATGCGCATGAGAATCCGTGCCGGATTACGTCGGAAAAAAATTCGGTTGTCGGATATAAACGGATTTGAGATCCGTCCGACAGGTTCCGACCCCCCGTCATTCTCTTGGGCAAGTTTCAATGTTATAAAAAAGTCTTTCGATTACAAGTTTTTTCTATCAAAATATGTTGGATAACTACTCCTTGGATGGTCTTCGATTGGTAGATCATTTTCGTAACGTTTTATTATATTATAAATTGCCGATCTTTTAAAACCTTTTTGTATAAAATGTTTTACTATATCAATTTTTTTCAAATTATTGTTTGTCCCACACATAGAAAAAATACGTTTACGGAGATCAATTATTTTGACATCAATGGATCAATCGAAAAATGTCAAATTGATATGACATATAGAGGGCAGGACAAGCTATGTAACCAATAAAAAAAAAAGTTTATGTCGATGGCTGTTATATATATGTTTCAGCTCTCGACATTTTGTCCAAAAATTTTTCTATCACCCGTTATTTATTTTATTGAAAGTAATATGAAGGAAAAAAAGAAGAAAAATAAAGATCAAATGAATAAAATACTTTATGGCTTTATGTAATATATTTATGATATGATTGAAGAATGTTCTTATAATGTTCAAAATCAACTTCATATTGATAAGTTATATAAATTTTTCGATTCTGTTCATCAACCAATTCAATCTTATTATGTCGATCAAACTATTCAAAAAAAAATCATTCTATGAATCAAATGAAACAATATATTACTTCTAATAATTCCAAAAGACGTTGTTTAACAAGTAAACGAAATCGTCTCATTTGTTTATCATCATTATGATTAATTGATTGAAGAAGACACATTTCATGAACACGTCGTGTTTCTTGTTTAGTTAATTTACAAACTTCTCGTGCTTTATCAATCATTTCTTTTGCTACACGATCAGTTTTAAGTATTGATTCTTTAGAAAATAAATCTGGTAAATATTTATGACATAATTCAAGTGAAACAAGATCACGTAATGCAACAAATTCATCTGATGGATCTTCAGCTAGATGAAAATAAAAATTATTATTAAACCTTACTCGAAGTTCGTAAATTACCTGTAATGTCTTGAACACGTGAATTTGTTCGTAAATCTTCATAAATTGCTGTTAAAAGACGTCGTCCATGACCTTTTCGTTGATAAGGTGGTAAAATTAACATTTCACTAAAAAATAAAACTCATCAAACAAAAAAAAAATCGATGGCACGAGTTCTAACCAAATTTGTGGTCGGTTTTTATCTGGGTAAACCTAATATAGATAAACTCTAGTAAATCCAATAGGTGTATAAGATATTTGACCATTATCATTTTTATATTGTTGATAAATGATATAAACAATCGAATTTAAATTGTTTTTATTAATAGATGGTACGATATCGATAAAAAACATAAGAAATGTTTGAAGATGATCATACCAATCAAAGAATTTTGAATTACTAGGTAAATTTTGTTGATTTATACGATGAATAAAATAAGAAGATTCATGTCCTGTTAATTCATAGCCTAATAATTGTTCACCAAATGGTGAATATTCATATTCAGTTTTTAATTTCGATAAAAATAATTCTAGATCTGTTGTCATTGCTGATGGCAACCATTGACTTAATAATGCAATTATAACATCAGGCTTAAAATAAAAACAATTTATTTATTAAAAAAAAAGAAAATAGATTTATTTACTTTCAATTGTTGGTCGCTTTTTGGATTAATTTTTTCGTCATAATGAACATTTAAATAAAAACTAATTGATGCTGATAAATAATAAACATGAATTTGTACACCATAATATCGGAAAAATGCTTCACTGAAATATTTTATATTATATAAATAATTAATTTTCTTTTTTGAAATTTACTTTTGAACAAATATTTGAGGAGTATATTTAGGTCGAAAATCAATATCATTATTTCTTAAATCTTTTTCCGATCGAACTAAATAATTAAATATAATGAAATAATAATAAAATTTCAAAGACTAACCTAATTTAAATTTTACAATACCATCATTTTCATGATCATTATCAGTAGATTCATATGAAAAACTAAAATAATAATAAATTAACGTTAATTTTTTATATATAAATTGAATGAGATATAGTCATTGGAAATGAAGATAATAGATCAACTACTTAAGTAACTAAATAAATTCTGATTTTGAAGTAGCTGACTTACATGGATTTTATTGATGACGATGGAATATAAAAAGAATTGGATGATATTAATGACAAAGCATTATTAAGTTGTTGAAGTTCTTCCTCGCTTGTATCAATGTTATTTTTAATTTTTTTAATTTCATCTTGTAATAATGTCCATTGATAACCATCTTCTTTTGTAGATAAACTGTGAAATTTAATATAAGCTAAATCTCCATCAGCCATTTCACATCCCCACTGGACAAAGATAAAACCAATTTTTGATTCACAATCATAATAAACTCGGAGACCATGATCTTCAATAATTTTTTTTCCATCTAATAATAGTAAAAAATATTTAAAAACCAATTTTTTTTACTTTTATTTTTTGTTTTTTTTTTCATTATTCTTTTTATTGATAAATTAATGAGAAAAGAACGGAAAAAAATTATTTGCTTTAGACAGGATTTGAACCTGATTCGCGTGATTTACGCTTTTAGCCACTCGGCTAAATCCAAAGTAATGTTTCTATTCTCTCTCTCTCGTATGTAATTCATAAGCTGTTAAATCTATTATTATACAAAAAGCACTTGAAAAAATTTAACTTACCATATTCTGCAGCATGTTCATCATCATCATCAGATGTTTCAAATACCACTGGGTTGATGATGACCGTTCGATGATGCAATTCATTGAACAAGTAGAGATATTTGTCTTCTAAGATCAATTTTAAACGATCATGAATAAATTTATTTGGATTTCTTAAGAGGGAATATGCTTCTCGTTCATGAATTGTTCCACTGACGGTACCACCACCAACCAACAAGCGTAAATCTTTCAATTTTTTGATCCTAAATTGTTTTCTTTTATGCTTTGGTAGCTTTTTCGTTAGTTTCGACAGAAGAGACGTTAACAGTAATTTTAAATCTTCTGATGGATTTTTTCCTGTAATGGGAAAGGAGTTGTGGTCCATAAATGCAAATGGAATACCATTATAACGACCATCCATCAGAAGAAAATGACAACTGGCAACGCAGTCAGTGTAAATTGAAGTTTCGCTGACTCCGTAGTGTCCCATTGCAACATAAGCATCGTATTTGGAAACCATGTCTAAAAAACCGATTTGATATTAGTGTAATATAAAATAAAAAATTATAAATTTATTCTATGTTCAGCTTTTTTATGAATTATATCTTTGTTAATATTTAATTATTAACTTTATTAAATCATTTGAGATTCATATTCGACTGTTTTTAATATAATTTATTTAATTTGAAAATAAAAACACAAAAATATTAATGATTTAAAAATAAAAATAAAATAATTTATTCATTGAAACATAAAAATAAAAAATAACAAAGTTTAATAGGTTAAATTCAAAAGCCGTAGCCGTTGAGTAATTTTGTAAAATTTCTTGTTTCACATCTATTTATGTTAATGTTGCAACCAAGGTAAATATATATGATGTATTTTCTATATGTATCCATCGATTTATTATTTTTTCATTCATCTCTCTATATTTAAACAACAGAAAAAAATACTCTTCTCGTCTGATATTGTCATATTGTCATTTTCTCATTTCGTTCTCTCATTAGAAAAAGAAAAGGAAAACAACAGATATGTACTGTAAATGTTAGACGTATATTTATTCGTCTCGAAAGAATAAAATGAATTGAATTAACCAAAGGAAATATTCGAAACGTACTTATTATAGTCTAATGCAATACATTATTTGTATTGAGACTATATATATCATCATTGAAAAATTTATGTAATTAATTAATTTTCTATCATTGTAAATCAAAGGCAGAGCTTCAAATGTTGATAGTAGTTTTAATAATTGCATATGGATTATATTCCTAGTCTTTGGTGACTAGTCCATTTAAATAAAAAAAAGAATTTCTTTCTAGACAAAAATTTCTATATTAATATTGATATGAAACTTCAATTTATTTCAAGACATTCATTTTTTATTTGCTATGTTTTATTGGAAAATCTTGTATTTATTTTTATTAAATTTGTCGTTTCATCTAGACATACAAACATGATCATTTATATATTAAACATCGTTTATTATTTGAATCTAGTGATTGTATATTTACATGTAATGTTCAGTCAAATCTTTTTGTTTTCGTTTTTGTTTATATCTCTTTGTCTTTCTAATTAATATTTTATCTTTATCTTTTGATATTTTGTAATAGAGAAAATGTTTTCTAATATTTACAATTTTATTGAAATTTCATCCAAATTTTTCTCTCTATATTCAAGATGAGAAAGAAACAAAACAAATTTTCATTTTAATAGATGAGATTTATTTGACTTTTCTATTGACTTATGAATTCATAGTTATGTCCAATTGTGTCATGTACCTATGATTGTCAATGCTAATATAAATATATGCGGTCATGATTTGTTATCAAAATTTACTATGTTTACTATCAGTAAAGAAATACTAGTTCATATTCTAAGTAATTAATTTCATATTTTCTGTTAAATTTAATATTATTTAATAGATATTTTTGTTGTTGGATTTCCATAAAGACAACATTAAACATGTTCAGAATATGAAATAAAATTTACAATTAGAATTTGAAAACATTATTTATTTGTATTTTTCTTTTATTGATTGTTTATAATTTTGTAATTACAATTGACAGTGCCATCGAGTTTTGGTTAAAAGATCTTCTGTTTCCGAATCAATAGTTATCAAATTTAACTTACAGAAACTAGTAAAATAATATCCATTATGGAAGAGATCTTGGTTGATCGTATATAACGACTACATATGTTTTTCTTGTCTCTTTTATTATGTGTTTGAAAATGGAAAGAGTCCAATTTATGTTTATATAAGCTTCATGCTTTTGTTTTTCAATGGAAAATATTATTCATAAAAAAATATATATATAATTGAATTAATGCATTATGTTATTTTTCATTTACATTTTGATGTTTTATTTGAATGAAATCTATGAATCAATAAGACTTTCTCTGAAAAACTCAAGTTATAAATATGGATATTACAGAAATCGTTCTCTGTATTGAATTAGCTAAATTGGTATTCCTTTAGCTG